CTACCTTAGGCCTGTAGGCGCCTAGGGGTAGACCGCCCGCCACTCCACCGTTGGCGACGCTGCGAGGCCCGGGAAGCCGTCACGGAAAAGGATACACGCGAGCGGGGCCAGGGGCGGAAGGAGAAGGAGGAGGACAGAATCCTTTTCAAGGACGGCGACAGCTGCTCGCCGGCGGCTGCCGGGCAGGGCGCGCCTACCGCCCTGGTAGAGGGGTTGGGGGACAGGAGGAGGGAGGGGGTCTGCGCCGCCGTCCACGCGAGGTCCTCGCGCTGCTTCGCCACGCCCTACCGCGGGCCCAAAGGCACCCAAACAGCGACCACTTTCACTCATCTCATTCCCGCCTCCGTTTCGTCGTGCTGGCCGACGGCCGACCCCCGGGGGGCTCCATGCTCTGTGGGGCCCACCGCGCCCCGCGCCTCGCCCAGCTTCCATCCCGCGCCTGCCCCGCCTTGCAGCCGGTCCGGCACTACGCCCGGCACTGACCGGTACGGCCTGCACTGACTGCCCCACAGCGACCCCCCGCGTCACTTCACTTCAGGGTCAAGATCAGCCGCGCCGGCCGTGGCAGCCGCACCGGCCGCAGCAGGGCGGCTGCAGCCTGCGCACTCGACTCGACCTGCAGCCTCCTGCAGGGCAGGGGCGCCTCCTAATCACGCCTCGCAGCCGAGTCCGGCCGGTCAGCGACCTCCCCTCCAGCGCGGACAGCCGCACGGACCGTCCTGTCGTCCCGTCTACGCCCGACCGCCTGCCGCCCGTGTTCCAGACCGTCCGTCTGTCTGTCTGCCCGTCCGTCCGTCTGTACGGCAGACAGACAGGGTGGTGGCACAAAGGCAAGAGAGGCCTGGACCGGGTTGCTGCTGGAAGGAGCGTGGGGCCGGCGTGCGTCGTGCGGCCTGGCGTGGCAGAGTGGAGGGGGGGGGGGCATTCAATTCAATGGGATGTGATGGGATTGGGTCGTCGTTTTGCGTTGGGCTCTACCACGATACATTGCCCCGGCCACGCCGCAACCCACCCCACCCCGCCCCTCCCCTCGTGATATACAAGGTGCCGGTCAGCCGGCCGGCAGCGCGGCGGCCTGCTCGAGAGCGGCGGATACGGAAAGGCCATCGGACTGACTTGATCGCGGAGGGTTCATCTCCCGCAACTACTGCCTTGCAGCTGCCGCAAGACACTACATGTTCATTACGACTAACGAACGACTACGACCAGGGTGTGCTAACTTCCGAAATTGTTTTCGACTTTTTCGGCATTATCTTTTCAGAAAAGGAGAAGATATGAGCGTGAACAAGTGATTATTAGAGTGATAAAAGTACACTCAATTTTCATTACCTCATCAGTGGAAGTGCACAAATGTACCCTAAAATGATCGGTGGTTTACGGTGGAATCCATCACCGATGCAACTTTTGAGCTGACGCTGACAGCCACATGTCGCCTATTAAAACTGAGGATATTCTTCCTACAGTGCATCATGCATGCCGCCACCGGTCAGCGCATGCTTAGAGGACGAAGCACTCGTGCAGTGCGTTGCTCGTTATTGACTCCAGAAGACACACGAGCGCTGCGCGCCGCCGTGGACTGTCATGGGCGCACGCCGAGCGCACGCGGGGGGTCAGCGGAAGCGCCATTGTGCTCACAACGCTCACCTCGGCAGTGACGCTCGGAAGAGAAGGGAAAGGAGCAAATGCAAGCCGAAAAGAACAAATGTTATCGAGGATATTGCACACGTTCATTCCGTGTACTTACAAAGAAATTCCGCATATAATTGAATAATTGACAAAGGGGATGTGGGGGTGGGCGTGGAGATTGAGCCAGCGGAAGCCACAGACAGGCAGCCACACTCACACACACACGCACGGGTGCGCGAACCACAAGGCCCATCCCATTGGCCGTTGATAAGCGGAGAGCTCATCGCAGAAAGTATTACAAGGGCGCAGACGGCAGAAGCTCATTGGCCATCCGAATTGGACACATGGCCGGCGGGCGGTGGGGCGGCGTGGTCGTGGTGGTCGCCTGGCCGCTGGCCGGGGCGGGCGGCGCGGGAGGGTGGTGGAGGGTGTTTGGTCGGCGGGCGAGGCATGGCAGGGTGCAGGGGCGTCGTCAGGCCGCTGCAAGTGAATTGCTTTTATTTCGCGAGGGTTGAGGGAGGGGTGGGGGCAGGGCAGACAGATAGGCGGGCGCAAGAGAGCCTTTAGCAAGGGGAACGAGGTCCCGCGGCTGCTCAACACCGCCGCCGCGGGCTCCGCGCTGCTCTCGCTCGCTCCGTTTCAATCCGATTCGGTCCCTCCCGTCACTGTAGGCAAGCTGATAGAAATGACTCAACACGCGGAAGCGTTCGTTACAAGTGCCATTCTACTCGGCCCGCCGCGCCTCCCCGCGCCCCGCCCCGCCGAGACACGGTCGGTCACTGGCCGCCGTCTCGCCCAGAGCCCAGCCCAGCAGCCGCCGAGCCGAGCACAGCCCGCCTCCGGCCAGCCGAAGGGGCTTGCGTTACTAGCGCATTGTAGAGCTGTAGTAAGCTAGATGCCAAGAACAAGCCCCACAAAGAAAAGTCAGAAATTAAACGCACGTGCGTGTCACGCAGTGAAAGCTCAGAGGCTTCTTCGAAAAACAAAACTTTGGCATTCTAAAAGAAACACACACACACTAAAGTAGCTTGTTTCAAATAAATTTCAAAATTTAAGCACACAATAAGAGGCAACAGAGTTTTCATAGTGTGCTGAAAATAATGCAGCAGCGACGGCACCAGTCGAACGGAGGGGAAGAAAGGAGACAGCCGATACATATTGTCGCGATGCAGACACACAAAGTACAGAGTTCGCGGTGTGTTTTGTACTTTTTCATGGTGCAATGCGGTGCACCCAGGCAGGCAGGTCAGTCACGTGTCCGCATACGGCACGCGGCCGGCCAGCGATAAGCATCCCTGTGGTCGGCTTGTCGTGCCGCAGCCCTCCGTCCCCCCGGGGGCGCCGGGAGCAGAGAGCACCGCGCAGCGCCCCGCGCAGCGCACCCTGGCTATCGGCCACGCCATCAGCGCGCCCGGCCACTCGGCCCAGCCCAGCCGCCCCCGGGGCCTGGGAGCCCCGCCGGCCCAACGCACTACCCGCCCGGCCCGGCCCGGCCCGGCCCGGCCGCGGCAGCTGGAATTCCCTCTCTCGCGCGCCAAATGCTGCTGCTGCTGCTTCTGCTGCTCTGCGGTTTCGGCTCTCGCTCTGCTAATCCGTTTCGCCGACCGCCGGCCCTCGGGAACACGGCAAACAGGAGTGGCTTCAAGAGTCTGGAGTCTGCTCTGGCGCCTTCAGACTGCCGGAGGCTGTCGTTGGCTCCATAGAGGCTCCACAGGCTCCAGAGCCACCGGTTGGCCGGTGGGTGTCCAGCGGACGTCACGCCGCGCCGCTGACGAGACCGCGAGGTCGAGTGTCATCAGACAAGAGTTCACGTTTTCCGAGAACAACACCACCGGTGATAATTTTTCTCTTACGTGGGTCCGCGTCGCGTACGTCCTCCTATCGATGCACGGGGATCGCGGTAAACAAGCAAGCGTCCTGCCGGCCGGCGTACACCACACCACACACACACACACTGCGACGCGCGGGACTATCCCACTATGACGACAACACGCCAAGTTGCACAGGTAGGTATACCCCCTTCGCTTCAGCACTCTTAACAAGACTCGGTGAATCCCCCTCCCCACTTGTACAGTGCTATCTAGCTATGGTTTCGCACCGCGTCAGAAGGGGAGCACTCACACACAAAAAAGAAGGGAACGTGAGCGGGGAGTATCATTTATAGCGGAGTCAGGCCAGATAACGGGGGTCATAACAGGGCGAAGAGATAAAGTAAAATTATAATTTGACCGACAACTTTGTTATAAGGCCAAGGGATAGAAAAAATGTGGTTCGTTGACAGTCTGCTCTTGAACCAGGGCGGAGAGAAATCTGTCTCTATCGAGACTTGGAGGCATTCTGTGCGGGGAAATTATTTTTTTCAAATGGTTGGGGACGCGGGGACTATAGTATATAACAGCAAAAGGGTGACCACATTGTGGTCTCGCCGTTGATGGTGTTTTTTTTGTGTTTTTTTTTTCAAATTAGCCGGCTGTTGGACAATGCAAGAGGACACTCTACGTCACATCGACCGTGTTCACCTACCGGACGAGGTACAGGAGCAAGGCGCGGGGCGGGACGTACTCCTCGGCGAGGCCGCTGAGGCCCCCGAAGGCGATGCCGGCGTCGGGGGAGGAGGCACCCAGCTCGATGGAGCGCGCCTGCAGCCGGCGCTTGGCCGCGGCCGAGGTCATGAGCGAGGCCGCCGCCAGCCGCTCCGCCACGGCCAGGGACTCCCGCATCAGGGCCGAGACCTCGGCGTCGCCGACGCCCAGGGTCTCGGCCACGAGGGCCGTCACGCGCGAAGGCTCCAGGTCGTCGTCGCCGTCCTCGTGCAGTCGGACGTCCTCCATGCGCTGCAGCACCTCCATCGAGTTCTGCAGCATGCTGACGGCGCTCATGGACTCGGGGCTCTTGACGGAGCTGTGGTGGTGCAGCTGGTGGTGGGGCGGCGTCCCCTGCCCGAGGCCCGTCCTGGTGGCCGTCGAGGTCCTCGCGTCCGTCATGGCGTGCCGCCTGCTCGGCTTCCCCGGCGGCGGCGAGCCCACACTTCCTGGCGGTCCTGCCCTGGGCGAGGCCCTGGTGGTCGTCGTTTTGATGAGGCTCACCTCGTGGGGCGCCGTGGTGCCCGCGCTCGGCCCCGCGGTCAGGGCAAGCAAGGGACGAGCACGCCACCAGGCAATTTTCGAATGCGTTTTGGAACGCCGCGAGACACGCACACACACACGCACGCACGTACGCACTCGCGCGCACGCACACACACTCACACGCTCGCCCTGTGCACGGGTCTACAACAACAACGTCCTGCTCTCCGTCCGAGACTCTGCCCGCCTACAAGATAGAGCTGTCCGACGCGGACGAGGAAGGTCCATTGAACTCGCACTCTGATGCGCTCGCGGCTCGAGTCCCGACTCGACTAACGTGCCGGCCGCGCTGGCCTCACGCCGAACTAGACGTCCGGCAGACCGCCATGCCAGGGCGGGGCGGGGCGAGATGCGGCGG